CTGAGGACCTGCATGGGGGCCATGCAGGGGCCAGGCCACCCGGATCTTGCAGTCGTGACCCTCCGGTTCGATTTGATTCGACTGCGATGGCTTCCGATTCCGGTTCGCTTCGGCTTGGGATTCCGATTCGGGTTCCGATGTCTCATCGGAGGCATACCTAATTGCTAGCCTGCCGATGTCCGCCGACTCGGCTCTTCCCGACTTGGCTGCCGATTTCCGCCGATCCGATTCATTTTGATCGCCGATCCGACTCATCGATTCGATTCTGGGCTCTCCTGCCCCCAGTCGTGGGGCGCCTGGGAGAAATCGAGGCGGAGGTTTTTCATGGTCTTCGGCCCCGCGGGGCCCTTGCCGGGCTGTGGGGGCCGTTCAACCACGGCTCGGGAGGAGGCACCAGTCCCGGGGAAGTGTTCGAGAGGTCGGGGGCCCCCGTGCCCATACCTCCTCGCGTTGTGGAATAATTGCGAGGTGAGGTTTCTCGCTATTCTCGGCCGCCCTTCCCGGGCCTCGAGACCGTCAACAAAAACGATTCAGGATGAAAAATTGGTCCCCGTGAAGGGGTCCAGACCTTTGGGGCCCGACGTTGTGAAAAAAATACTACGTCGGAGGTTTGGGTGTCTCGAAGAAAGCGAGACGCCAGGAGTCTGGGGTGATCCGACGACGCGGGCAAGCTGCAACATTGAAACCAAAATTTCGACGCCAGCCTTGGACCCTCTCTTCAAGTCGGGCATGTCCCTCTATATACAAGAGACATGTCAGAAAATAATCAAAAATAGTCAGGAGACGATTTTGTTTGGAATATTTTAGGATTAATTCTCCTTCCAAAATCCGCGGGTAGGAGGACAGAGCTTTGAGGGTGCCCTATGGGGCCCGACACCGCGCGGGAACGCCCGGCCCGATCACATCGCAAGACGCCAGGATGCCAGGCCCCCCTTATACGTCATGATTTGTTCATCGCGTCGGCCCCCAGAGGTCTCGACCCATTCCCCGGGGCCGGTGTTTCCTCCTGATTACCTGATGTTCCAGCCTACTTTAGCCTTGATCGCCCCCCAAAAAATTTCGAGCAACAAGACGAGTACCGAAACTTGAGGCTTTTCACGTGTCGGGCCCTGGGAGGCGATACTCGTTCGACACTGTTTCGATACTTCCCTGGTTGCTCGGAATTATTTATGGGATGTGGTCCATAAGTACGATGGGAGCAACATAATCCGGACTCATCTTTTGATAGCCCCAGGGCCCAGCAAGGGCCCCGAGACAGAGGCTGAACATGGGCAACAATCATCAGTCGGGAATGTTTCATGATTCAAGGCGGTCTTCGGACAGGTCTATAGGACGAGGATAAATCCGTTCCAGAGCGTTCTGGAACGCTCTCGGAACGCTCTGAGGAGGCCGCAGCGCCCGAGACATCTTCCAGAGCCGCCGGATCTCAGAGCATCTCGACTTCCAGACCCCCGACGTCATGATTTCCTTTCATTGCGTCGACCCCCCGAGGTCTCGACCTGTTATCCCCGGGACCGGTTCCGCATCCACGAGTCGTGCTTCTCGGCCCCAGGCGGCCCGGGAAGGGCCGCCAGTGGCCGGCCATGGCGGAAGACCTCCCGTCGTGCTTTTTGCCACCACTCGAGGGGGTCCCGGGGCCATGCCCACCCCTCTCCACCCACCAAGCCACCCCAACCCAACCCGAAGGTCCAAGTTCATCCTCGATTTCCAGTGGGGGGGGGGGTCGGGGAACAGGGTGGGTAACACCTGGAACCCGTACCCCCCCCCCCAACCCGAAGTTCGGGCCACATTCGGGTCTTCGGGTTGGGTTGGGGTGGTCTGGTAGGTAGTCAACCCCATGCCGTCCTCGTCCTGGCTCCGTCTTGGGCCCTGCGGCGCCGGCCCCCCCCCCCCCGAGGCCCCGCGGCGCGCGGAGGGCGCCCCCGAGGGCGCCGAGGGCTGCCGGCCGCGCGAGGCCGGCGGCCGCGCCGCGCCCGCGGGCGGCGGGGAGGCTCGGCCCGCGGGCGCGGGCGGGGCGGCGGCGGCCGCGGCGGTCGGCGCCGGCCACGGGGCCGAGGACCCGTGGGGGCTCGGGGGAGGGAGATCGGCTATAGGCGTACAGTCGGGGCCCTGAAGAAGGAACCCTTTTTGTTTGTTGGGGAGGGGCTCCGTGTTCCTCAGTTGCTTTACAGTGCTCCTTGGATTTTCCTAAGGTTTTACATGGAACATCGGAGTTTAATGTATGGAAAAACGGGGTCTCAGGGCGACTAGACGTAAGAGTGACCTTTCGCAGGAGTGGCCTCTGGTGCGGGCACAGATATCGGCCCCCAGAGGGCTGAGAGCGGAGCAGCAGCAGCTGGTTGCGCGCCCGGATTTGGCCCCCCCGCGGCCCCCAAGAAGCCGCGCACCAAAAGTCACTCTTACCCAGGGTCACTCTTGCGTACAGCCGATCGGGGGAGGGAGATCGGCTAGAGGCGCAGGACCCGCGCGGGGCGCGGGGGTCCGGGGGGCCCGCGGGGGTTCGGGGGAACCCTCGAGGAGTGGCATGAGCATCAGAACTCGGAGGTCCGCGCGGATTTCTCGGATCCGCGCTGGAGCCCTCCGGCGGCGCCTCCGGCGCCGCCCCTGGCGCGCTCCGCGCGCCAAGGGGGGGGGGGTCCAGCGCCGATCCGAGCAATCCGCGCGGACCTCCGAGCTTTTATGCTTCTGTCATCGCTTGTTTCTCTAAGTTCGGCTACGCGTACGCCGAGCCCCTCGAGCCATATGAAAAAAGCACGACAGGGGGGGGGGTCACGCTTTTCTGCCAAAGGGGAGCCCTCGCGGGCCTCGGGACCGTCAGAAAACGACTCGGGATGAAACACTGGTCCCCTTTGGAATAGGTCGGAACCTTTGGGGGTCGACGTCGTGACAAGATCATGGCGTGAGTGACCTTTCGCTGGAGTGATCTTTGGTGCGGGCTCATCGGGTCCCCGTTCCGATCGCTGATCGGGGGTGGACAGACCTCCCAACAGTGACACGTCGATTAGTGAATTGTCCGTTTTCGGTTCTCGAGAGGGCGCCGTGGCCGTTATTTTCCAGACTTGCGCCCGCCAGGTTTGGGCCTCAGGTCGTTTTCACTAAACCACGTTTTACTAAAGGGGGGTCTGTCCATCCCCGAGCTGAGCGCAAGGCCAAAGCAGCGGCCTGCGCGCTTGGGTTTTGCCTCCTCGCGCCCCTCCCAAGAGCCGCGCACCAGAGGTCACTCTGACCCAGGGCCACTCTTGCGTCTATATCCGCTTTCGGGGTAAGGAGAAACTCGAGTGGGGGATCGACTACAAGAGTTGATCTACCCCGAAATTGAGTTTCCCGTCGATGCACGGAACGTGCTACGTATCGAAGACGCATACGGCGAATCACCGTTGCCCCCTGCCTTTTTGAATTGCGCCTGTGGCCGAACATTGTGGCCAAAGCTCTGCCAAGCTATCAGACCATGTGTTCCCCCAGCCGTTGTGGAAACCTTTCGGGGAACACTTGGGGGAGGGTGGCGGAGAAGATCAGGAGGAGGAGGAGGAGGAGGGAGGGAGGAGGAGAAGGAGGAGGAGGAGGCCTTCTGGGAGCCTTTTGGGGCCCTCTTGGGGCCTCTTGGAGGCCTTGTGGGGGCCTCCTTGGGACTCTTGGGGACCCTCGGGGGCTTCTTGGGGGCCTCTTTGGCTGTCTTGCGGCGTTCCGGTCCGTTGGACGCCGTCGGAAGTCGTCTTGGGGGCCTCTCTGAGCCGACTTGGGGCCTTCTTGGGGCGCTTCAGGGCCGTCTTGGAAGCCATCTTGGGCGTCTCGGAGGCCTCTTGAGCCGTCTTGGGGCCTTCTTGGGACCGTCTTGGGGGCCACTTGGGCCGTTATGGAGCCATCTTGGAGGCCTCTCGGGCGCTCTGGGGGCGACTTTGGGGGCCTCTTGGGCCCCCAAGACCGCCTGCTCGATTGGGCTCACCTCTCATGTTAGACAAGCCGCTGGCGTTCTTGTGTCGGTTTCGGATCGGCATGTTGGAAATCCGCATGCTAGCGTTCCGGTCTTAACAAGCAAACATGAACAGGCCAACACGAGTGTTTCGTGTTGTTCTCGTCGTCGGAGCCCACCGCGGACGGGCCGTGGGCTTCCGGACCTGTCCCGCACCAGTGTCCGACCAGTGTCAGGCGCCGCTTTGTTTTTTGCAGATCTGCGCCGGGGAACCAGTCTGAGCTCCCGCCCCGCTCCTGGGTCTCACGAGCAGGATGACATCGCCGCGACGGGCATTTGGAACATGTTGTTAAAGTGTAGCACAGCGATGTTTTGTTACCGTTTCCAGCCCGTCAAAGGCCCAAGGATACAAAGCGCCCCTGGAAACAGCCAGGTCGCTTCTAAGATTCACCCTCAGCTGCTCGGGATCCAGGGGGTGCGAACCGCAGCCAAGGGTCCAGACTGCTGACCCTGGCCAGGGGTGGTGGCGGTGAAGAGCCACCCTCCCCAGAGCCCCGAGGTCATGATTTTTTCATTACGTCGACCCCCCGAGGTCTCGACCCATTCCCCAGGAGCGGTTTTTCATCCCAAGTCGTTTTTTGACGGCCCCGAGGCCCAGGAAGGGCCCCCAGAGGCCGAAAATGGTGAGAAACCTCACGCCGTCATTTTTGTCATTGCTCGAGGGTGGTCTGGGCCCTCCTCCTCCTCCTCCTCCTCCTCCTCCTCCTCCTCCCTCCTCCTCCTCCTCCTCCTCCTCCTCCTCCTCCTCCTCCTTCCTCCTCCTCCTCCTCCTCCTCCTCCTCCTCCTCCCCTCCTCCTCCTCCTCCTCCTCCTCTTCCTCCTCCCTCCTCCTCTCTCCTCCTCCTCCTCCTCCTCCTCCTCCTCCTCCCTCCTCCTCCTCCTCCTCCTCTCCCTCCTCCTCCTCCTCCTCCTCCCTCCTCCTCCTCCTCCTCCTCCTCCTCCTCCTCCTCCTCCTCCTCCCCCTCCGCCTCGAGGAGAGGAGAGGGCCTAGGTCTGCCGAGGCGCGGGGGGGGGGGAACCCTCCCGCGAGGAAGCGCCCCGCCGGGCGCGGTCCGGCCACGGCCTCGGGGTGGCCGACGGCGGCGGGAGCACCCGCCACGGCGCGGACGGCAGTGCAGGCGCCGGCAGCGCGCGCACGGGTGGCGAAGCGTCCTGGCTCGCTTATGGCCCTACCAAGCGATGTTCTAAGAGCCTTCTGTGGTTTCCGCGATATGTTTTTAGAACATTGCTGGCGGAGTCTGTCTTGTTTAAACACATCGGGCTTATGCTATAAAACACATTGTTTCTATTATTAGAGCATTTCGGGGGTCTACGAACATTTCGTGGTAGGACTACAGGAATGCTGGGACGGTCGGTCCCTGCTCAAGGGTGGTGGCGGCTACACGTGAGAGTCACCTTTCGCCGGAGTGACCTCTGGTGCGGGCCCCCCTGGAGGAGTGAAGAAATCATGGCGGGAGATTTTTCGCCGTTTTCGGCCCCTGGGGGCCCTGACTGGGCCTCGGGACCGTCAAAAAACGACTCGGGATGAAAAACCGGTCCCAGGGAATAGGTCGAGACCTCGGGGGGTCGACGTAATGAAAAAATCATGACCTCGGGGGTTTGGGTCTGGTGCGGGCCAAAGGGACCCCCCCGATCGCTGAATGCGATGTGATAGTAGCGGCTGGTTACGCCTGGTGGTGTCCCAAAGGGCCCTTGCTTAGGCCGCGCACCAAAGGTCACTCTTGGCTAGGGCCACTCTTGCGTGTAGTCGATGGTGCGAGGGGGGCGACGGTCTCGGAGTGCAGGCTCCTCCTGAGCAGAAGGGCCTGGCGCCTCCTCACAGAGGGCTTCCCATAGGCAAAGAGACGGCGGGAGGGCCTGCGAGAAGCCCCCTGGCCTCTCAGAAGCTCGCCGCGCTCGCCCCGCCCTCTTGCGCGCGCCACCACGGTGGGGGGGCAGACACAGTGCCAGTGACCCGTTGCCGTCGGGAACCCATCAGCGTGCTAGCACCAGGCCTTCGGACAAAACGGAAGGGGCAGAACCCTGACGGGCTCCCAACGGCGCCGCGTCATTTCTATCCATACCGCTGGGCGGTGGCACGCCTGAGCATCGTCTGGTACTGGGTGACGCTCGGGCGTGTCACTGCCTACGTCTGACCTAGAGTGCCAGAACAGATCCCTTCAAACTCACAGGCCTGTAAGGACTGTTAAAACAAACCTCGGCCATCAGTAAACAACTCAGAGGTCCTGACGCTATTTTCTCAGCCCTCCCGGAAGGTCAGGGCGGGTAGGTCCTTGGGCGCGAATTCATAGGGGGCGATACATGGGGGGGGCAGCGAGGTCTGCACAAAAGGGGCCCTGGAGGGCCCCCAAGAGGGAGCCCCAGAGGGGGCCGAAAGGGCCCGAAAACGGCACCTCTCCTCCCCCCCCCGCCCCATCGCTCCCCGAGAAAGCTCGCGCCCCCGAGGGGCCCTCCCCGGAGGGCCCCCCCCTCGTGGCGGTGGCCCTCTGCTCCCCCTCGGCCAAAAAACCCCCGAGGCGGGCCGCGGCTCGCGCGCTCCCGGTCGCGGTCGCCCCGGGCGGGCCCGGCGAGGGGGGGCACCGAGGACCTCGGGGGCAACGATAGGCCTGGCATCGCTCGGACGTGTGCATGCTTTTCTCGGCGAGAACCACCGAGGACCATCCTGGACCATCGCGCCAAAACAAACCACGCACGAGACCGAAAAAAATGCACGGGAAATGGACGTCCGAGCGACGGCAGGTGGCGGGGGACAGGCACAGGGGGGGGGGACGCACCGACCCCCGATCGCCCATTGATCGCCGATGGGGCCGTCATAGCCCCAACCTGCCCACGAAGAAGGTGCGGCTTCACTATCGGGCGCCCATCGCCGAGCTATCGGCGACGTCTCGCCGATTCCAGGTCGAGGCATCCCCCTATATGCCAGTCCCCCCCTGTCGTTGCCCCGCAGGACCTGGTCGAGGTGGTGCCCGCCTCCGCGCGCTCCGCCCCCTGCGGCTCCGCCGTGCCGGCGCTGAGGCTTCCCCGCTCGCTCTGCGACGGGCTATGGGCGTACCAGAAGGACTCGAGGGAGGAGGCGTGCCGATGTGTGCGGAGCGTGCCAGAGAGGGCCTCACCTTCGAGGATGGAAGGCATGGTCCAGCTCTTCATCGGCGGAAGGCGGCAGGAGTAGAACGAGGCAGGCTCCGCCGACGGAAGGCTGGCGGAAGGCGGCGGAGGTAACACATTTGCCTCCAGGAGATGACAACAGTGCGGACTACGCCAGGTAGATAACAAGTCACAGAAGCTTCCACTCGTCTTGGCTCGAGTGTAGCGCGGCGGCTCGCGCCCAGTAGCGCTCGATGGCGCCAAATGGCGTAGCGCCGAATAGCGTTCAAATAGTGCCCAGTGGGGACCAACAGCTCCCAACAGCGTCATGCGAGGGAGATGCACCATGTCTGCGTTTGCGTGCGATTGGGCGCGTTATTGGACGCCATGGGGACAACTAAACGCCTCCGTGGGTTGCTTCGTAGTTATACCTGAGTCGGGCAGGCCCCTCTACAGGAGGAAAATACAACGATAATAGAAACATAGTCGGGGAACGGTGTTCGAGTCTTTCCGGTAATTCTTGAGTTTTCCAAGCCATCCTTTGATGTTGGGTTCTCGTTTTGAAGAGACGGTCCCCGCGGTCACTACTCCCGCTGCCCCCTACCTCCTCCTCTCATCATCATCATCATCATCATCATCATCATCATCATCATCATCATCATCATCATCATCATCATCATCATCATCATCATCATCATTATCATCATCATCATAAGCATCATCAGCATCATCAACATCATCATCATCATCATCATCATCATCATCATCATCAGCATCATCATCATCACCGCAAACATTATCATAAGCATCAGCATCATCATAATCAACATCAGCATCATTATCATCATCATCATCAACACCATCATCAGCACATCATCAACATCATCATCATCACCATCATCATCATCATCATCATCATCATCATCATCATCATCATCATCATCATCATAAGCATCATCAGCATCATCATCATCATCATCATCATCATCATCATCATCATCATCGTCATCTCCCGTTTCAGCACACCCCTCACACGCTTCGTGGCCACATAGGGAGCCCCACTGAAGGCCCCAGTTTCAGGGTCCGCCCAGCACCGCCGCCCCATTTCGGCACACCCTTTACACGGTTCGCGGCCCCATAGGGAGTTCCAACGAGGGCCTCAGTTGCAGGGTCCGCATGGCACCGCCGCCCCATTTCGGCACACTCTTCACACGGTTCATGGCCACATAGGCCACATAGGGAGCTCCACCGAAGGCCCTAGTGGCAGGGTCCGCATGGCACCGCCGCCCCATTTCGGCACACCCTTCACACGGTTCGCGGCCCCACAGGGAATTTCACCGAAGGCCTAAGTGGCAGGGTCCGCATGGCACCGCCGCCCCATGTCGGCACACATTTCACACGGGTCGTGGCCCCATAGGGAGCTCCACCGACGGCCCCAGCGGCAGGGTCCGCATGGCACCGCCGCCCCATTTCGGCACACCCTTCACACGGTTCGCGGCCCCACAGGGAGCTCCACCGAAGGCCCCAGAGGCATGGTCAGCATGGCATTGCCGCCCCAATTCGGCACACCCCTCACACGGTTCATGGCCTCACAGGGAGCTCCACCGAAGGCCCCAGTGGCAGGGTCCGCATGGTACCGCCGCCCCATTTCGGCACACCCTTCACACGGTTCGCGGCCCCACAGGAGATTTCACCGAAGGCCTAAGTGGCAGGGTCCGCGTGGCACCGCCGACCCATTTCGGCACGCATTCACGATTTCGTGGCCCTATCGGGAGTTCCACCGACTGCCCCAGTGGCAGGGTCCGCATGGCACCGCCGCCCCATTTCGGCACACACTTCACACGGTTCGTGGCCCCATAGGGAGTTCCACCGACGGCCCCATCGGCAGGGTTCGTATGAGACCGCCGCCCCAATTCGGCACACCCTTCACACTTTCGTGGCCCTATCGGGAGCTTCAACGAAGGCCCCAGTGGCAGGGTCCACATGGCACCGCCGACCCATTTCGGCACACCCCTCACACGGTTCTGGCCCCACAGGGAGTTACACCGAAAGCCCCAGTGGCAGGGTCCGCGTGGCACCGCCGACCCATTTCGGCACACCTTCACGATTTCGTGGCCCTATCGGGAGCTCCACCGAAGGCCCCAGTAGCCCTTCACGCGATTCGTGGCCCTATCGGGAGTTCCACCGAAAGCCCCAGTGGCAGGGTCCGCGTGGCACCGCCGCCCCACTTCGGCACACCCCTCACACGGTTCGTGGCCCCACAGGGAGTTCCACCGAAGGCTGCAGTGGCAGGGTCCGCATGGCACCGCTGCCCCATTTCGGAACACCCCTCACACGGTTCGTGGCCCCACAGGGAGTTCCACCGAAGGCCCCAGAGGCAGGGTCCGCATGGCACCGCCGCCCCATTTCGGCACACTTCTCACACGGTTTGTGGCACTATCGGGAGCTCCACCGAAAGCTGTACCCAGAATGCGGTGCTCACAATTGCGTATGGTTGGGTCTTTCGCCAGGATATGTTTTATCGCCTGTAGGGGACATGCCCGATCTAACGCTATACAGATGCCCTGAATTCATCCTCGCAGTTTGGGGCTTCCTGGGAGTCTGGGAGGCCATCGCAACGGCTACATTCGGGCCGAAGCCTTGGTCAGAGACCGCGCCTTGGGAGAGGTGCTTGGAGCAGGGGAATCGGTACTTCAATTTTTCGGGGAAACGTAAGCCGGAACTCGGATTAGCCGACCTTTTCTTTTTTACGAGCGTGTCCTGGATTTTGACGGTCCGGTTTTCGTGGGATGTTTGCAGCGGGAGTTCGCGTCAAATTTCATATTGGGTCTCTGAATTGTTATGATGGCCCTGTCAGGCCAAAGCGAGTCTCCCGTACCCCAGTCTTACGTCTTCCCGATTTAGGGGGCCACCTGCGAACCCTACCCCTACCCCCCAGGATTTCCTGAGGGGGAGGGAGTGAGCCCCACCCTCCCCCTCAGGAATCCTGGGGGGTAGGGGTAGGGTTCGCACGTGGCCCCCTACGATGTTGGCTCTCCCCGGAGGAGGGCGTGGCGTGGATGTGGGGCCTCTACCACGCGCGCCAGGGGGGCGTGCTGGCAGACGAGATGGGGCTCGGGAAGACGGTGCAGGCCAGGGCTGGACCTAAACGCTGTTTCGCTGGACTTCGGCTGTGTTTTTGTTTTTCGTTCTGGGAGGGAGGTATACAGGAACACAGGTAGAGCCAACGAGCAACAAAACGAACAGCAACTTTTAGGTCCAGCCCTGGTGCAGGCCTGCGCGTGCGTGCAGGCCGTGCGGGCGGCTGGGGCGAGGCACGCCCTGGTGCTGGTGCCGGTGACCCTCTTGAGCCAGTGGGCTGCAGAGATCCAGAGGTGCCCAGACCCCCTCGAGCTTCCTCGCGGGAGGGTCCCCCCCCTTCTCCTCCTCCTCCTCATCCTCCTTCTCCTCCTCCTCCTCCTCCTCCTCCTCCTCTTCCTCCTCCTCCTCCACCTCCTCTTCCTCCTCCTCCTTCTCCTCTTCCTATTCTTCGGCAGAGCCAGACCCCCTCGAGCAATAAAGAAAACACGACGGGAGGTGTTCCGCCATTTTCGGCCTCCGGGGGCCCTCCCTGGGCCTCGGGGCCGCCAACAAAAATGATTCAGGATGAAGAACAGGTCCCAGGACGGGGTCCAGACCTCTTGGGGTCGACGTTGTGAAGAAATTACGATGTCGGGCGTCTGGGTTCTAGGCCTCCCAGATGGGGTCGGAGCAGGTGGGGTCGGAGGATGGCGCCGAATCGGCGACGCATCGGCATTGCGGCTCGATGCGGAGCCCGATCTGCTTCACGTCGACGTCGCCGATGCATTGCCGACATCGGCGACGCATCGCCAAAACATCGCCGATGCATCGCAGGTGTATCGGCGGTGCGGCGCGATCCTCCGACCCCATCCACTCCGACCCCATCTAGGAGGCCTCTAGAGGTGGTGCCCCGAGTGCCCTGTCTACGTGTACCACGGCAGCGCGGCTCAGCGCGGGCGCGCTCTCGATGCCGTGAGGCTGCCGCGCGGGGGGGTACTGCTCACGTCCTACAACATAGTCAAGAACGAGAGCGAGCACTTGCTGGGTGCATCTGTCGACTCTGTACAGCTCCGGTCTGGCCCCGGTGGCGTCGAGAGGCGTAGGGTCTCTGTGCAGAAGAATTGGGACATCATGATCTGCGATGAGGCCCATGTCATGAGGAGCATATCCACGTTGTTGGGCAAGGCAGTGCGGAACATTTGTTCCAATTGCCGGATCTTGCTCACAGGCACGCCTGTGCAGAACCGTTTGCAGGATATGTGGGCGTTGATGGATTTCGCGCAACCAGGGCTCCTAGGCAATCACGCCACATTTACGAAACGCTTCAGCGAACCCATCGAGAAGGGCAGCGTGCGCAGCGCTGGGCCTTCTGCAGTTGCCCTAAAGAAGCACCTCTGCGACCAGCTGCTGCAGTTGGTGGCACCCCACCTGCTGCGCCGAACAAAGGAGAGCACAGGACTGCAGGGCAGTGACATCGGCGACCCCGCCGCTTTGGCCGTCGCGGTCGCCTCCCGTGGATGCAGTGAGGTCCCCTTCCCCAAGTCCTTGCCGCCCAAAGTGGAGCTGGTGGTGTGGCTCGCCCCCACCACGGAGCAGGCGGCGGCCTACAAGCAGGCCCTGGCCACCAGCGAGGTGATCCGCGAGGCCAATGACAAGACGAGGCTGGGCCTGGAGGTGTTCAAGGCGATCGGCCTCCTCAAGCGCCTGTGCAACCACCCTGCGCTGGGGCTGCCGGTCGCCGAGCCGGGGCTGTGGCAGGAGGTCCTTTCCGTCGCGTCCGCGTCGTTGCCAGGCGCGGGCGGCTGCTTCCGCGCCGCCTGTCCGCAGCGCAGGGACCCGCCGAAGCCATCGGGTCGTGCGACGCCTTCGGCCGCGACAATGGCCGCAGCATCGGCGCTGGCACCGCCTCTTGCCGTTGCCGCCGACGACCCGGAGGACGATGTTGGGGCGGCAGGCGCTGGCGGGACCGTGGAGCGACTGCTCCGGAAGCTGCCGCGAGACCTGGACTCTCTTGTGGCGCAGAGCGCGAAGTTGAGGTGCGTTGCGGCGATGTTGCCCGCGCTGATTGCGCGCGGGCACCGGGTTCTGATCTTTTCACAGGGGGTGCTGATGATGGATTTGATAGAGGTGTGCGTGCTCCGGAAGCAGGGCATCAGCTTCCTGCGTCTCGACGGGCACACCGACATCAAGACGCGTGCCGAGAGGGTCGCGAGTTTCCAGGCAGAGCCAGAAAAGTACAAGTGCATGCTGTTGACCACGCGCGTCGGTGGCTATGGCCTGAACCTCACAGGGGCCGACCGTGTCATCCTGCTGGACCCCGCCTGGAATCCCGCATCCGACGCACAGGCAGTAGATCGGGCATACCGCATCGGGCAACAGAACGAAGTTCGGACGTACCGACTTGTGATGAGTGGCCTCATCGAAGACAAGATGTTTCGGCTGCAGGTCTTCAAAATGGGTCTCACCAATTCGGCTCTGGAGGCGTCGCAGCAGCACCGGTACTTCACGCAGGATGAGATCCGGGCTCTGTTCAAGTGGGCAGACCCAGCGAAGGGTGAGACCATGAGACTGATTGCTGAGAAGCACAGCCAGCGAGACGGCGACCTCGCGGCCGAACACGCACAGGTGGACGGCGCTCAAGATGGGTGGCTGCAGGCGGGCCCAGCGATTGGCTTGAGCGTCTTCTCGTCGCTGTTCCGCGCGCTCGCTCCCGAGGAGCCTCAGGAGGAGGACGGCCTGGGCAGCGAGGAAGTGCGGGAGATGAGGGCCAGGATCTCCCGGGCCGAGCAGGAGTCCGTCAGGCAGTCCGAGGCGAGAGCCGCCGCGGAGGGGCAGGTCGCACAGGCGCAGCTCGGAGCGCAGGAGGCGGCGGGGCAGATCGCCTCTGCGGCGGAGGACCGGGCCAGGGCCGGCCAGCGCCTGAAGGCCGCTCACAGCGAGCTGGCGAGGGCGAGGCGCGAGGAGGCGGCGTCCGAGCGGGTCCTGGAGAAGGCCGTGCAGGCGCAGGCGGCGGCGCAGAAGCACCTGCTCGGGGTGGAGGAGCGGCGCCGCACCGCCGGGGGCGCGGAGGACGCCGTGGCGCGGCAGTGCGAGGGCGCGGGGGAGGCCCTCGCGGCCACGGAGCAGACTCTGGCGCAGGCGCTCGCGGACACCAGCTGCCGGGTGGAGCGCGTGTGCGGCACGAGCGGCTCGGGCCTCGGAGACCCCTCGGCTGGAGGCGTCTGTGCTCCGGGTGCCGCTGCGTCTGCCGCCAGGAAGGCCATCGAGCGGGCCCAGAAGTGCCTCGATGCAGCGAGGGCTGCCCGCGAGGCGGCACAGCGGGCGCTGGGCGACCTCCTGAACGCCGACGCGCGCCAGTTGGACAGCGAGGCGGAAGCCAACGTGGCGGCTGCCCGTCAGGAGCCCCAGCAGGCCGCGGCTGTCAAGGCGGCCCAGGTGGCGGCGAGCAGCGCGGGCAAGGAGAGCGCCAGGGCGGAGAAGGCGTTCGAGAAGGCGGCCAAGGCGTCTGCCGGCGCGCAGGAACGCGCGTCGCAGACGGTGCACGACCTGAAGGAGGCGGTGAGCGCGCTGGCTGAGTCGCTGCAGGGTGACGGCGCGACCCTCGTCCGCGACGTGCGGTCCATGCAGCAGGAGCTCCGGGCGTCCGCCCGGGGGGTCGCCGCCGCGTGGCAGGCGGCGCGGGCGGCGCAGCAGGCGTGCTGCCGGGCTGAGGGGCTGCGCCGCAGGGCTGCCCGCGCAGCCGCGGCCTCCTGCGCGGAGGTCAAGGAGGCGCGCGCCCGTGGCCTGGCGGCCGACGACGCCCACGCGAGGGCGGAGCAGGAGGCTGCGGCCGTCCAGCTGAGGCGCCGCGCCTGCGAGTCGGAGGTCGAGGAGGCCCGCGCGGCGGGCGTCGATGCCGAGATGCGCGGCGTGGGGCAGAAGAGGCGGCGCGAGGAGCTCAAGGCCGAGCTGGCGGGGGCGAAGCAGGGCCTCAAGGCGGCCAAGGCGGCGGAGAAGGAGGCCATCTGTGGGCGCGACGCCCTGTACAAGCACTACGCCAAGGGCGGCGACGGCGCGAAGGACGAGGCCGCCTCAGCGGGCAGTGCGGCCGGGGCGGCCGCCGAGGAGCGGCAAAGGGCCGTGGAGGCGATCCAGGCGCTGAAGGGCGAGGTGTACGACGCGAATCAGGTCGTGGAGGCTTATGAGAGTAAGCGCAGGCGGGTCGAGGCAGACCCAGACGCCGCCTGACCGCCCAAGGCAGCCTCGGGCGACCGCGTGCAGGGCGCTGCCGCCTGCGCTGGTGCCCCTCCCCGTCGGCGCACCTTCCTCCTCCACGGGCTACCCGTCCGCTCCCCTTGAGCAGCTTCTTGATCAGCACTGCAGCAGCAGCAGCAGCAGCAGCAGCAGCACGCGTCAGGCCCTCCGTCACGAACGACTGTACAGTGTGTGTTTGTGGGTGCGTGGGCGCTCTGCTTCCCGGGCCTGCGCGTCCAAAGGGAATCACTGCGTGCCTTGCTCTGCCGAGGTAGCTTAATAGGTGCTTCGTTCCTGCAGGTTTCGCTGCAACGATGACCTCCGTGGGTACGCCATGAGGGGTCAGCACGCTCAGAAATGCCTCGTTGCCCTCCTTTTGCTGCTTTCATTGCACTTCCCCGTCGCCCTCATCATCATTGAAGACGCCTATGGCGAAGCACCGCCGCCGCTACCTGTTGGAAGCGCTTGTGTGGCTAAACATTGTGCCAACATCTGGCCAAGATGTCATGGAAATACGTGTGTTGTGCAATATATGTGGAGCATTAAGTGTGGTACCATATATGTGAAGCAATCTGTGCGGTTGTGCACTATAAATTGTGCACTGTATGTTGTGCAATCTATTTGGTGCAATCTACGTTGTGCAATCACAGAAGCACAACGCAACGCAATTCAAATCCATGCGAAGCAATGCGAAGCAAGACAAGCACGACAAAACAATGCAAGGCGATGCGAAGCAATACAGCGCAATGCAAGCCAAAGGAAAGCAGGGCAGAGCAACGCAGTGCAAGGCCATGCAACGACGAGACGGCGACGGGGCGGCGGCGGCGAGCACGTAGCCGCCAGACCGGCCCGCCGGCCCCAGACCACGGGCGGCGACGAGGCGGCGGCGGTGAGCACGGAGCCGCCGGACGGGCCCGCAGGCCCGGACGACGGGCGGGCGACGAGGCGGCGACGGGGCCGCGACGGCGAGCACGGAGCCGCCAGGCTGGCCCGCAAGGCCCAGTCCCTGAGGCAAGGGATAAGATCCATGGAGTGAAAAGCGTTGGTTTGGGGAGCATCAGAGAGCCCTGAAGTGCAGCTGTTGTGTCGGAGAGTAAGGTGGGCTGCAGGATCAGCAGTTGGTCTGGCGGCGTGGCCGCCTCCCGTTCCCCCCCTGTGACCTCCCATGACCTGAGCGGACTGCTGGCTCCCGAGTCGGTCGGGCGACGTGGCCTTCCTTCCGTGGCCCCCCGCTTGCCTCCCGCGCGGCATCCCGTTGCAGTCCCTGTCCTTCTGCCGACCCCTATCCCTATCTCTATCCCTACACCCCCATCCCGATCCCTATCACTATACCCCTAATATCCCTCCTCTATCCCTAGCCCTATTTCCCTTCCCCTGTCCCAACCGAGATCCCCCTTATCGTGCCCCCTCATCATGGCCCCCATCCTAGCCTCCAATCGTGGCCCCCATCGTAACTTTGTCAAACTGCCGCAAGTGTGCAAATTCCCTCTCGCCGTTTCCTCTCTTATCTCCTCGTCGTCCTCGTCCTCTTCGTCTCCTCTTCTCCCCCACCCTTGCTGGCAGGACCAACCGCGACCAAGGGGAGATTCCGACAGTTCCTCGCACTGCGCCACGGTCCCCAGGGGCGTGGGTGCCTATCTGGCCGCCGAGGGAGCGAGAAGGAACGTGGCCCTCAGAAGCCAGCACGTTTCGAGCCAGGGCTTTGCCGGATCTAGCATATTGTGAGTTCTCGTCGTGTCCCCCCACCGCCCTGCCTCTGCATTGTCATGTTTTTTCTTCAGCAAACAGGATGTCGAGACCAAAACATTGCTGACGAGGTAGGAGGACAGACGGTGGAGCGAGGCTGGAGGAGGATGAGGAGGAGGAGTTGGAGGGCGGATGCGCATGGGGGAGGGCAGTTGGATGTGGCGGGGGGAGGGGAGAGGAGAGGGAAGAGGAGCAGCAAAAGGGAGGAAAATGGGGGAGCAGGCGGAAGGGGACGGTGGAGGAGGGAGGAAGAGAAGGAGGAGGAGGAGGAGGTATGGGAAGAGGAGGAGGAGGAGGAGGAGAAGGTCGAGGAGGAGAAGGAGGATTTTCATGAAGGAGGAGGGGGAGTGTGGACCACTGTCGGGAGAGGGGGCGGAGCAGGAGGCAGGGAGAGTAGGTCTAGGAGGAAGGAAGAGGGAGGTGAGATGAAGGGTGGAAGGGATAGCGGAACAGGAGCAGGAGCAGGGCATGGCCTGTGCAGGTGAACCTAAATTAACAAGTGGACATGTGTCGTTTGTGCGAGTTCTTCCTCCAGCGGACAAAGACGCGGATGCCCTCGAACACTCGTTCGTCAGGCTTCTCAAAGTGTCGTAGTGCGCCCGTACTATTAATATGTCGTCGCGCAGATGGGAAAGCGAGTGCCGCTTGTACGTATGATGACGGCGATGTTGTTGGTATGCCGATGCTTCTGCTAAGTGTCTAGAATGCCAGGGTCACGGAAGTGCAATGTGATGAGGTTTTTCGTTTCCGCCCAAACCAACATGGCCAGGACAACGTACGGTCGTGTCAATATATAGCACTGTTGAGGCCCAAGTAGTATGGCATGCTAAGCGGCTTCCCTGATGGATTGTGCAAACCACCCTGACAGCGTCTGGCTTCAAGCATACTCGAACTGGGAGACCAACCGCGCATAATTTTGGACCTTGCCCAGTTGAGGGTTATTCGACATGTTCGAAGAAGCAGCGGCAGGAGAGAGTGACATCAGCAGGAGCAGACGGAGAGAGATGCAGTCATGAGCTCCACTGTGTGTGCGTGTTGGTCTTTATATGTTATTGTTTTTGGGTAGGTGTTTCATGTCGACAGCAGTGTCTTCGCCACATGTCTTGTCTGACATGTGCTGGACTATGCGCGGTTCGTTCTTCGTGACTGGCACCCGCCAGCGCCAACACGGTCCACGCCGTATCATTTTATTCACGCACTTATGGGGAAGCGCTTGCACACGGTGGCGCAGCGAAGGCAAGCTCAGTTTTTGATGTTCCAACCTACTTTGGCCTTGATCACCAGAAAGAATTTCGAGCACCAAGAAAGTACCGAAACTTCAGGGTTTTCACGTGTCGGGCCCTGGGAGGCGATACTCGTTCGACATTGTTTCGATACTTTTCTGGGTGTTCAAAATTATTTCTGGGATGTCGTCCTGAAGTACGATGGGAGCAGCATAAAGCCCAGTTGCCTTCAGCACCAAACATGGTGCTTTCAAAGCGTTTTGCTATCAGTGGAAATGGATGCTTCGACCGATCTCCACCATCTTCCGGATGCTGGCTCTGGCGCCATGGGGGAGCGCGCCGGTCCCGGCCAGACATGAAGCCCGAGAAGGGCCAGAGACGCCCGAAAGCTCCCTGGCGCCCGATCTGTCCGAGCACGCTGGCGTCGAGGGCCTGCATGCTCTGGCACGTGCGCCTTCCCCGGCGTCCGATGGGAGGATCTATACGCTCCAGCCCGCGGCTCCCGGAGGTTCGCGACCCCTTTCCGGGGGGCAGTTCCCCCCGTCCCGGGTCAGCTCATCTCTCCCCCTTCTCCAGTCGGGGGTCCCCAAACAGGGCGGTGACCACACCCTGCGGTAAGTCGGCGGGCATGCGGGGCCACCGCACGGTCTTGGGGCTCGAGTACTTCTCCGAGGACGTCTCGGGCAACAGGGGCCTCCGGGGCCCCAAGACCGTGCGGTGACGGACCGTGCGGTGAGGTCGTGGGGCATTTCGAGGTCACCGCACGGACCGCCACCGCACCGTCTCGGGACTCCAAATCCAGGGCAAGCTTCCCCGTCCCCCGTTCTCGGGTCCACGGGTTTGATCGCCCCGGGGCCCGCAGGCGAGCCCCCCGTGTGAGGCCGACCGTTTTGGAGCTTTTGGAGGCGCCAGGGTGCAAAGGAGTGCAGTCCGCCCGACGTCGCCTGGCGGCCGCGCGCAGGGCAGGCAGCGAGCGAGCGGGAGGCGGGTGAGGGAGGAGAAAAGGAGCAGCAGTAGCAGGAGCGATCTAGTCAGAGGGCGAGGAGGGGAGGGTGTCTGTTTGGGTTGGCACGCGCTGTGGAAGCCGATGGCCCGTCGGCGGGTCGCGGCGCCGCAGTCAGCGGAGTTTCCCAGAGCCGGATCGTCCTGCACGGGCACTGCCTGAGCAAGCACAGTCGGGGCCCTGAAGAAGGGACCCTTTTCGTTGGGGAGGGGCTCCGCGTTCCTTAAGTGTTTCTCTGGTGTTCCTTATGTCTTCAATCGGAAATCGAAGTTTAACTTATGGAAAAAGGGGGCCTCGTTCCTTATTTAGGGTTCCTTAGGTCAAGGCCCCGACTGTAGAGTAAGCAGTTCAGGTCGGGCACAGGGGCACGGCGGCACACTGAGAGAGCGGCGGGCGCGGTCCTGGTGTGACGTTGTCGAGGCTTCCCTGGCCGCAGCGAATCATTCATGGCGCCGACATCGCAGAGCGGATTTCGTTCGGAAAACGATGGGATGGGCCCTGAGTGTCCTGGAGAATCTCGTTCCGGATTTCAAGTGAATTTCGTGAGGGTTTTTTGGGGGCCAGGAATGAAGACTGCAAAACATCCACGTGAAATTCACTTTGTTTTTCGCTTGCCGTTGTGGGGGTTCGCATTGACAGAAATCCAAGCAAAAATTCGCTGCAGCACGTCTACAAGGCGGGTGCAATGAAATCATATCTACCTGAGGGGGCGGAGGTATCTTCGGCCACTGACACGGCACGCAGACGAGACGGCGGCGGACAAACCCAATTTTTGCGTAAGAGGCATCAAGGTGAGGGAGGTGACTTCAGCCTTTCTCTTTGTGTCTGGTGGCCAAGATGGCGAAACGAAGGCAGTGCAGCCACAGGCACGCGGGCGGAGGCACGGCGAGAATCTCGCTCGCTGGAGCCTACGTAGCTGGCGGGTGCGGGAAGGGGCCCCCACGGGGGCCTCGCACGTGTGATGCGCTGTCTTGTGCACCAGGAGCCCCGGTTGGGCTCACGTGGGCCCCTGGCTTTACCTT